TGGACATAGTCCACAGTTAAAATTGTGGCTGTTCTATGTGAACGTTATGCAAGAGTTTGAATAATGACTCATTTCTACATCTAGTTCATAGGCAGGTGAGAATTTTTCTATCTGAACCAATGAGAAGTCTACCTTCCTGAGGACATGTTGACTGTCATACCTGGGCTGAGGGCCAGAGCTAACACAGTTCACAAAAGAGATGGAGGCTCTTATGCACAGGTTCAGTTCATTGGTGAAATTGTCACTAGCGTACTTAGACCCAACATAGAGAATTTGGTGACTCTCATACCTAGAACTGGGACCCGTACGGGATTAATTCATTACTGGACCTTCCTACAGGTCGGATTGTGACATACGCCTTTGTCCAGGACCTGAGTGATTTCAGTTTCCTGTCTGGTCCCAGCCCAAAGGTGTGATTGTAATATATCACTGGTCCCAGCACCTAGGTGATATGACTCTCCTCTTTTTATGGGACCCCACACATTTTGGGTGTTGTAAAGTATTGCTGGATCCTGCACCCATGTTATGTGACTCTCCCACCTGTGCCCTACGTGTTGTGCCATATTATGGCACAATATGTCACACTAGAAATTGTTACATATGGCTGGGCACGGTGGCTCACGCCTGTAATCCCAGCACTCTGGGAGGCTGAGGCTGTCGGATCACTTGAGGTCAGGAGTTCAAGAGCAGTCTGCCCAACATGGTGAAACCCCGTCTCTACTAAAAAAAATACGAAAATTAGCCGGGCATGGTGGTGCATGCCTGTAATCCCAGCTACTCGGGAGGCTGAGGCAGGAGAATCGCTTGAATCCAGGAGGCAATGGTTGCATTGAGCTGACATCGCGCCACTGCACTCCAGCCTGGGCAATAGAGCAATACTCTTTCTCGAAAAAAGAAAAAAAGAAAAAAGAAATTGTTACATATAAGGCTGGGCACAGTGGCCTAGTGCCTGTAATGCCAGAACTTTGGAAGGCTGAGAGTGGGTGTATCACCTGAGGTCAGGAGTTCAAGACCAGTCTAATCAATATGGTGAAATGCTGTCTCTACTAAAAATACAAAAATCAGCCGGGCATGGTGGTGTGCGCCTATAGTCCCAGTGACTTGGGAGGCTGAGACAGGAGAATTGCTTGAATCTGGGACATGGAGGTTGCAGAGCCGAGATGCGCCACTACACTCCAGCCTGGGCAAGAGAGTGAGACTCCCTGTCAATAAATAAATAAATAAGTAAATAAGTAAATAAATAGTTACATGTTGTTGGTTCAGCACCCAGGGGATGTAACACTTTTTCTCTGGACCCTGCCTACTTTTTCTCTGGAGCTTTGTGACATAACTCAATGATGCCCATCACCATGGTAATGTTACTTTTTTTTTTTCCTGGAGACAGTCTCGCTCTGTTGCACAGGCTGGAGTGCAATGGTGTGATCTTGGCTCACTGCAACCTCCGCCACCCAAGTTCAAGCGATTCTTCTGTGTCAGCCTCTTGAGTAGCTGGGACTACAGGCATGTTCCACCATGCCCAGGTAATTTTTGCATTTTTAGTAGAGATGGGGTTTCAGCATGTTAGCCAGGCTGTTCTCGAATTCCTGGCCTCAAGTGATCCACCCTCCTCGGCCTCCCAAAGTGTTGGGATTATAGGCGTGAGCCACTGCGCCCAGCCAGTAATGTTACTTTCTTCTGCCTGGTCTCTGCTCACAGAGACCTAGCATCAAGGTGATGTGACTCATCTTTTTCTTAGGCCCTGCATATTTGTGTATTGTGACATACTGCTCAGCTGAACACCTAAAGGATGGGAGTCTCCTACCTGGGCCCTTCCTGCAGGGAGCATTGTGACATGTCCCTGCATTCATCACCTAGAGGATGTGACTCTCCTCTTCTGCCTGCACCG